CCAATTGCATCATGCATCCAAAAACTCGATACTGAAATGCGTCCAGCCTATCGCGCACCGTGCATTAACGAAGGCGCCCATCAAACCACTCTGCCATCTTGGCCGCGAGACAGCTATGCAGTTGCCTCGTCTCAGACACGATCACATGGTCGTGTCGCCGCGGGGTCGATCGGGATCTCGAATTCGGCTCCTGACGCGCCGCTTTCTCTCCTAGCCACTGGAGGGCGCTGCAGGCGCCCCCGTGGCGGGCGAGGAGATTTTCCGATAAGGTTAAAGCAGCGATGCAAGGATTTTTGTACTTTGCACAAATATCGCTTAGAACGGATCCCTGACGTTAATGAACTGTGAAACACCCGTTCGTACTTGTCCACACGCAATCGATGTCGCAAAAAAAAAAAAAATTAAGAAAAAACGAGCAGCGTTTACTCCCTCAACTTGCAGCCAGAACAAGCGGCCACGTGATCTGAAGCCCAATATATGCCGCCGATGTTGATCATAGCCACGGGCTGGGGTTGGCAAGGCACAGGACACGCGCTGAGTTCCAGACGTTGTTATAGACGATTGCAAGCTGGGCGACTGACCGCCGCCATGTCTCTGCTCGAGCAGGCACGCCCGTGCGATTACGAGCTTGCCAAAGCTACGTTTACCCGCGCGTTGCACGCGCTTGCACGCATGGGGCACCACTTGTGGCGCCATGCTTGCAATTGTCTATTGTTCGACTGTTGTCGTCATTGCAGCGATTGGACACTGACCACTACTTGGATGTTTCTGAAGTTATGGATTATCACGAACCCAAATCGAATGCCCACGCAATGCTCGAGTCTAATCTATCAGCCGTATTCAGACATCGTCACTGGGTGGTACTGCGACCGCCCAGCTACGTCATCAAGTTTTGTGAAGGAGAGATTGAATGAAAATGCTCGCTTTGGTCTCTGAAATTACACCGAAACAAAGGGGTTTCTTGGCTGCAGTGGCGTTACGTACGAGTTTTCATACGTAACGCCACTTTTCTTTATCTTGTTTGTTGGATTAGCATCATATTCCTTGGAGTCGAAGAAGAGGAAGTTTGACTAAATACAGATTATGCGTTGATAGTTAAGCGCTGTGTGAGCAAATTTATTTGTGTATATTTAAGTTACTGTCTACCTGTGCGCTGGTTCGTAATTAAATTTTACAATATTAATTAATACGTTCTTTCGAGCTTGTTATAGCTTTCAAGTAGGTTTACAGAAGTCAGAGAATGCAAATGTTGGTTGTATTCACTGGCCGCCTTTGCTGCTGAGCGCACGTTGAAACGTTTCAACCTGCAAATAGTAAAAAAATAAAGGGGAGGCAAAACGAGAATGTGTGACGGTTACGCTTATATCCTAAATGCCTTCTATTGGCGTGGCAAAGGCAAAACAATGTTTTCGCCCATACTGGAAGTGACGACAATTCAAGATGGCGGCGCACTTGCAGAAAAGGTATATACTCGGATGGGCAGGGGGGAGAGGCCTCTTAGAACTCCGGACGAGACCGAGACGCAGGCAGGCAGGTGGGTGGCGACCGGATCTAGGATATCGCGGGACACGAGGCCTGGGGGGCTATGTTGCGCTTTTTGCACTCCCAGGAGACTAGGGAGAGGGAAGTGACGTCAACGACACAGCAAACGCAGATTGGCTGTTGATTGCGTTTTCTTCTGTCAACATCCAATCTGCATTTGCTGTGTCGTTGACGTCACTTCCCTCTTCCAAGTCTCCTGGGAGTGCAAAAAGCGCAACATAGCACCCCTGGGGGCCTTCTTTGTGTTTAGCTTGTGGCTTAACGTGCGTTTGTAAATATTTGTGTAATGTCGCGTGTATTTGTAGTTTAGATTGAGTGTTTTGTAGCGTTGTGCTTTATTGTACCAATAAACGGGGAGCGGAATCCCGCTCCCGTGAAAGAATCAGGCTGGACTAGGTTTGTTCACGGACCACGTGGGAAATGGCGAATCGGCGGCGGTACGCGATTTCCTACAAGCCATCCCAGCCAAAGACAAGCTTCAACTTACGCTGCGGTTTCTTGCCTCAGGTGTGTGGTTATTCTTCTTACTCTTGTCCTTGTTTCAGCATATTTGAGAACTACGCTCGACTTAGCCGTGTTTCTTGTTTTCTTGAGAATTTTCAGGGGAAAGTCAACATTCCTTAAGCAGGCAGTTACGCATTAACCACTGCGCCGTCAAGGGTTCCTCGTTGAAATTTGTGACGCCATTTACAAGATGCTGGGACCGAAATATCTTGTGTCCCCCCGGACGAAGGATGAGTGGCTGGCAGTAATGAAGAATTTTTACGAAAGATGGCAATTTCCGCAATGTATTGGAGCGCTGGACATTAAACATATCACAATTATCAAACCTCTAAACTCTGGATCTGTTTATTTAAATTACAAGAAGACCTTCAGTATCGTGCTTTTTGCTCTCGTGGACGCAGACAGCAGGTTTTTGTACATTGATGTCCGAGTACCCGGGTCTGATGGAGGTGGAGGCGTGTGGAGGACGACACCACTGCGGAACGCCATCGAGAGTGGAACAGCTGGACTGCCGATCTCAGGACCTGGACCGGTCGGCGTCCCACCCGTCATCGTGGGAGACGACGCCTTCCCCTTGTCTATAAACTTAATGAAGCCGTATACACTGGTACAAATATGAAGAAAAGGTTATATTTAGGGCTCCGTGTTTTCGGATAAATCCGAAAAACTACGAAAAACACCCGCCGGTAAAATGTTGGTCAATTCGGATTTATCCGATAAACTCCGAATATTTATGTGTCAATGCTACTCCCCCCCCTCCCCCTCTCTCTCTCTCTCTCTCTCTCTCTCTCTCTCCCCCCCCCCCCCCCCCCTCCCGGCAAAAGAAAGAAGTAAAAGACTTCGGTTTTAACAGTTTGATCAGCACAGGGCTAATGGTCCTGGGAAAATTCCACCGTAATTATCTTTCAAATCTCGGACCGTTGTCAAAAGGGGTCTTGCCGCTAGTCTCTTTAAGGTTGATTCAGGGCAACAGGTCGTTCGTTGTACATTCGGGTTGCGACAAAAGCCACTCTTTTGGTTTCCAGTGTGGGCCATGCGATTTGTGATTTAGAGAAAGGAAAGGGTACCTTTTAGTAGCAGTGAAAGCTATGGACCATAGGGATTGTATAAAATTGGGAAGAGGGGCAGTTCAAACTCTGCAACGATATTCAATTGAAATGTTTTTCACTTTACACGAGCTTACTGGCACTAGTGGGACTCAAGGATACTCGCACGCAACGCCACTGGCCAAGAAACTCCTTTGTTGCGCTGTAATTTCGAGGACAAAACCGAGCGTTTCATTCAATCTCTTTCGCAAAACCTAATGACGTAGCTGGGCGGTAGCAGTACCGCCCAGTGACGATATTTGAATGCGGCTCATAGATTGAAGTGGGCACTCGATTTGGGCTCGTGATAATCTATAGCTCGAGAAGCATTCGGGTAGTGTCCTGTGTCCAATCGCTGCAATGACGAAAACAGCCGAACCATAAGAATGTCTGGAACGCAGCGCTGGTCCTGTGCCTTATCAACCCCAGCGCATGGCTATGATCAACATTGGCGGCATATAATGCCACCAATGTTGATCAAATGTTACGGAACTAATAAAAACAGAGGCAGAAAGATAGACAATTCGGTCAGGATGACCTTACTCTTTTACTGTTCGGCTCCATCTCGTTCACAAAGACTCGCGCTCTTGATCCCCCTCGTCTTCTTCATCTTCCATTTGTAACATCCTCCCGAGCCTTAGGTTTGGTTTCGCGAATCTCCAGCGCTGGTCTCTTGACGAGTGCGCCGTTTTGCTGCTTCACGAGACAGGCGCGAACAATTCCATCGGCTCCCGGATACGTCTCAAGAATCCTTGCAAGTTCCCAAAATGGCTTGGAAGTTCGGAACTTTTCCACTATAACCACGTCATCCACCTCTAGGTTGGAAGTGCTTCTGGCGGGGTACCGATGAGCAGACCTTAGCTCCAGCAGGTACTCGGACCTCCAGCGTTTCCAAAAATGATCCACGAGTCTTTTTCTATATTGGAACTTGCGAACCGTTTCCTGGTGCGTCTCAGATCCCTGAACCTCGCTGGAATTGCTGGTCTCTGGCAGAACTGCCAAACTTTGTCCAACTAAAAAATGGGCAGGAGTGATGACTGATGGTTCCCCTGCTCCCTCATGAAGATAGGCCAATGGCCTTGAGTTTAGGATTGCTTCGACCTCGGTGAGAGTCGTCATCAATGCTTCGAAGCACAGACTGTTTCTTCCCAGCACTTTCTTAAGTGCTGTCTTAACAGATCGGATGAGCCTCTCCCACCATCCACCCCACCCCCATGGAGCGCCTTCTACAATAAATTTCCAGTTAATTCTGCGTTCTGATATGAACGACTTAAACGCTTCTTGCTCTAATGCACGACAAATATGCTGAGGGTCTTTTGATGCTTTCTTAAAGGATAGTGCATTATCTGAATATATATCTTGCGGTATGCCTCTCCTTGATATGAACCGCCGAAATGCAAGCAAGAAGGCTTCCGCGGACAGACTCGTTGAAAGCTCGAGGTGGGCTGCTCGGGTAGCAGCACACGTAAAGAGTACGACGCACGCTTTGTCGCAACTATCTGATCCTTTTTTCGCATACAATGGCCCAGCGAAGTCGACCCCCGTTACTTCAAATGGCTTCGCCTCTTTAATCCTGTCTGTCGGTAGTGGAGCTTGCTCTACTGCTGTGGGTTTTGCTTTGAAGCGTGCACATATAAGACAATCTTTTACTACTTTCTTGGTTAGTTGTCGGGCACGTATAATCCAATACCGCTCTCGCAGATGACTCATCGTGCTTGCTACTCCACCGTGCAGAACTTTACTATGAGCGTCCATCACGACCAGCCTCACAAAGCTATAGGTCCGTTAGGAAGTATGATTGGATGCTTCCCATCGAAACTTTCGGTAGACCTCTGGAGTCATCCTCCAACTCGAAGGATTTCGTTATCATCAAAAAAAAGGATGGAACTGAGCGAGGGACGGATTCACTTCCATTGTGCCATTTTTTCTTAACAGAATGTCAGTCTCAAAGCTTTCCTTTTGTACTTGCTTAACCCAATACCGCTCTGCGGTGTCCAATTCCGCTGCACTTAGAGTTCCTCGGAACTTGTCATTTTTTTTGTTCGCGTTGTTAGCGAACCTAATGACCCAGGCAGTTATCCGGAGAACCTTTTGGAAATTATTATAAGCTCCGGCATCGAACAATGTTGGCACCGCTCGATCGTTCTCCAACAACACCTGTGTCTCTTTTTCGACTTCCGGTTGTGACGTGATTTGCAACGGAGCTGCGTTTCTAGGCCATTTTGAAGGCTCTTGGCACAACCAGTTGGGTCCTTTCCACCAGATGACGCTGTCTCGAAGCTCATAAATAGTCAATCCTCTTGTCAAGAAATTTGCCGGATTGTCTTGACCGAGGCAGTGTCTCCAATGGTCCGGTGACGTCACTGCTAGTATTTCCGTTACCCTGTTTTTCACAAACGGCTTCCATTTCTCCGGCCCTGCTCTCACCCAACTGAGGGCAACTGTCGAATCCGTCCACATGATGTTGTCCAGGTCCACGTCATAATAGGAGTCTTTTATGTATTGTAAGAGCTTGGATCCCATATTGGCTCCCATGAGCTCAAGCCTTGGCACTGTTAAAGGTCTTGTCGGTGCCACCCTGGTCTTCGCGACAACCAACGTGGTGGCTACATTCCCTTGGTAATCCTCAGTTCTCAAGTATGCGCACGAGCCGTAGGCTTTCATACTTGCATCTACAAAGACGTGTAATTGCATTTTTCTCGCTCCCGCCAGGACACCACGCCTTATGTATCTCGGTACTTTCAAAGAGTGCAGCTGCACAAGATCCGTCGTCCAGGCGTGCCATTCGTTGACCAACTCTGGGGGTAAAACTTCATCCCAGTTCATCCCAATTAGCCATAGCTTTTGGAAGAGCAACTTGGCCATTAGGACGAATGGTGCGATCAGTCTGAGAGGATCAAATACTCCTGAAGCTGCCTTGAGGATGGACCGCTTGTTGTCCAGATTTGCAGTGAGGAATTCCAGAAGAGACTCTACTTTGTACATAAAACAATCGTTTTGCTTGTCCCAGATCATTCCAAGTACTTTGGTGATTTTCGAAGGTGTGAGACTCTTTCCTTCTGATATAATTTCAGGTTCATCATTGTTGAATTGCTGCTGTAATTCTTCGTTGTTAGCTGTCCATTTCCTCAAGGTCATTCCAGCGCTTTTCATAACGTCAATAGACTTTTTGTAAAGTCTCGCAGCCTCCTCGACACTCTCAGCTCCAAGAAGTAGGTCATCGACATAGAATGCGGCTCTTAGTTTGTCTGCTAACACTGGCTGTTGCTCGCAGACCAGTTTCAAGTGGTGATGGATACTGGCCGTGAACATGAATGGACTTGATGTAGATCCGAAAGGTACTCTGGTCATCCTTCATTCTTGTATGTTTTCCTCCTTCAAAGGGAAACTTGGCTCTTCCGCAAACCAAAGAAATCGGAAGGCATCACGATCCTCTTCACGAATACCAACCTGTAAAAATGCCTTCTCAATGTCGGCAGTCATGGTGATCGGGTAATATCTGAACCGGAGTAGGACTTGTAGAAGCTCGGGGTTAAAGTGGGCCCTGTTTCCAGGCACTCATTCAAAGACTTGCACCCTTCGGCGTGAGAAGATGCATCAAAAACTATCCTTAGCTTTGTTGTCGTTGAATCTTCTCGTATTACTTCTTTGTGCGGCATGTAGTAGATGGCCTTCGCTCTGTCACTTTCTTTTCTGTCTGGTACCACTTCCGCGTGTCCATTAAGTAGGTACTGCTTAATTACCTCATCATAGCGCTGTAACAATCCATGTTTTGTTGAAAGTCTCCTCAACAGGCTTTCCAGACGTGAAATTGCGATTTTGCGATTGTTTGGCAGCAGATCAGTAGCGCCTTCCTTCCATAGTAAAGCCACTTCGTATCGTTCGTTCTTCCTGACGATCGTCTGTTCAAAACGACTGATGGTTTCTGCATCCGTATCGCCCAATTCGCGTTCGGCAATACCCATTCTGTCTAGCTCCCAGAAGGCCTTCAGCGTCTCTTCTACCTTGGCGTCAGTTGTCTGCGCTCCAAGGACACTTATCATAAGACAGGAATCTTCTAGAAGATTCCTATCTTATCAACCCCAGCGCATGGCTATGATCAACATTGGCGGCATATAATCGACTCCAGATCATGTGGCCTCTTGCTCTGGCTGCGAGTTGAGGAGGTGAACTTTGCTCGTTTTTCTTTATTTTTTGCTGCGACTTCGATTACGTGTGGTGAAAAACGAACGGGTATCTTACAGGTCATTAACGTCAGGGATCCGTTCTGAGCAGTATTTGCACAAAATACAAAAATCGTTGCATCGTCCCTTTAACCAGTCCACCTCACGCGGCCGCGGGCTAGATTGATGGTTCTGAAGGTTTCCAGCTGAACGTAGAAGTAAAACCAAGGAGTGGAGAAAAAGAGACTCACACTGCTGGACTATCAACCATTTACTAAAATTCTTCCTTTTCCTTTTCATCTATACCTCATGAATTAAACTATTTATTTACTGGAATTGTTTTCTTTCTTCTTTTTCATCTACCCTCATGAATTATACGAATGAGATCCCAGGGGTAACTTCTTCTGTATGACATTTGGTGGCTAGCGTTCACATGTTCCTGATTTTGTTCCCCACTCGGGGCGCTCCCAGAAGATACAGTTTTTCTTTCGAAAATAGCGTGATGGAGGCGGCACTCACGCAGTCATCCCCGTGCGCCTCAATAGCCAGAGATTCCAGGATTTCCCTTGCGAGCTGGTTTTTGTGCTTTCCGACGATGGTAATGTTTTCGAAATCAGGAGCACATTGGCATGCTCGGCAATGCGCCGGAAGATGGCCACCTGACATTAGTGCGCCAACGGAAGCTGCATGCTCCCTGGTGCGGTCGTTAATACACCGCCCAGTTTGTCCAATGTAGCTTTTGCCACATGACAATGGAATACGCTACTCCTTTTTCGCACGGGGCGTACGTTGTTCGGTGCGCGATGCCACAAGTAGACCTCATACACATCCACATACATCCACATACATACATGTATGTATGCATGTGGATGACTTTCTCATACTGTGTAATTCCGAAGCAGACGAGCCAGCTCCGCCAAGGCGTTCGTTGCTCGCAATGGGAGGCGAGAGGAGGAAAGGCGCATGGAGCAACAGAGTTGCAACAGAGCGGGCGTCTGCTCTCGTGCAGGCAACATTTGGGGCATATCCTTTCCCGAATCCTCTCCCTCAGGCGCCGCCATTAAATTGCAAACGCTCTCCAGGTTTTGAGTTGCACCCACCCTCACTACAGCCTCCCTATTCACTTGTAGCTTGGAACGCAGCGAAGCACAACCAAGGCTCTCGGAGCGAGGTGAGAGCGTTGGGAAATACCAATCCTGAACAGTATAGCTCGTGCAGCGAAGGCAGCGAGAAAGGTACGAGCTCGGACTCGCAGTTCTCGCCATCCACATACATGTATGTATGTGGATGTATGTATGTGGACCACATACACATTCTCGCGAATTAAGACCATGGAGTCTTAATTCGCATACTTGCACAAGTCCGCGGACTTGTTCGTTGTGACGTCGAAGCCACGTGATACGCTTATTTTACAGTTCCGCGGACATCGTTCCCGGAATTTGTCCGCCGAGTGAATACTGGGACGAAGGTTTCCGCAAACAACTTCTTCAACTAAATAATTATGGTGTGAGACCAGTGTGTCGAACCGAAAAAAATACGGGTTCGGTTACGGTTCAGGTTCAGGTGAATTTATTTTGTTCCGGTACAGTTCCGGTTCGATTAATTCGATGCGGGAACCGGTTCGGGGCGCTGAACCGGTTCGCGAACCGGTTCGTAAATTATAAATGACAAATTGCAACATCAAAATAAATTACAAACAAAACATCTGAAATCAGCACATACGAAACGGGATACATCGTAGTGTAAGGCTCAGGGATTTCTACCAGGAATGGTTTCTTTATGTGCACTCAAAGGTTACCTCACCGACGTTTACGCATTCGGACTTCATCTAATTGGGTCCGACGCATTAGCCTGTAAAATCCGCGACCTCCTTGCAAACCCACTTACAAGTAGAACTCGCTAACTATCCCGCCACCTCGGCGTGTAAGCAATTGGAACAGTGGGGAGAAAATACAGCTTTCTTTATTTGAACTAGCCCTCGGTAACTCAAATTAGACCCTTAAAGAAGTTTTCATTAAACAAGATACGGAATATGAAAAACGCTTCACCGAACGCAACGCCAGAAGGACGTAATAGGATAAATATTAAAATAGAAGGGTTCGCTGTCTCACAAATATGTTAGCTTCTAAGTGCCTATACGAAACCGGATGCATTATTATCAAACTCCACAGCCTTTTCTTTTCTCATTCCGATGGAAGCAAGCTTCAAGAACTCGAGCGTTCTAGAAACGTGTTATGAAATGAGCACACAGCAGCATTTAGGATTTACGAGATTCTAGGAAAATAAAATCCCGTGACGCGATTTTTTTTTTTTTTTGCACAGCTTTCCAATTCTTTTTCTTCCGTGCAAGCCGCGACCAGCGCAATACTGGTTCCTATGTCAAGATTCATGGATGCAGCGTTTATATTCCTAAGACTGAGTGGAGAAGAAAAATATGTAAGCGAGGTGTGTGTCAGTTGACGGCACTTAAGAGGGGGCGCACCTCAGAGCCCCATAGAGAATACATGAGGTTTTTCACCAAATTAAAAAAATTCTCACATAATAACGGCTGCGCGGATCTTCTTGAAAATTTCGGCTTTAAAGACATTGAGTCATTATCGAGACACTAAGCGCAACAAATGTTTCATCATAAATTTAATTATATTCTTTAAAAAATCATGAAAATGGTCAAAATCGGCTAATTCGGCACTCTTGCGTTCGGAGCGAATTTACAAAATTATCTAAATTCAAACATAAGAAGTATTGCGCTTAATGTCTTCTAAATTTATTACGGAATCGAATGATATTCAAATTATTCATGTAAGTCGATTTGTTCCGTAACTACAGCAAATATAAAGAACCAAGGTGTCGGTGCTTGTTTTCGTCGTTTTTAAGGTACCTCTCTCTCCCGTGCGGTGGCGCTCGCTGTCCACGAAATGCGAAATCGTCCGTTCGGAGATCGGCCGGATCGGCACTGTGCGAGGTGTTCTTCCGCGGCCGTATTCCGCGCCCGTATCCTGTTTCATTCTGCACGCCGAGGCGTCAGTGTGCGTGTCTTGCTTTCCTGGTTCTCGCTGGGTAGGTCTCCGTGTTTTCGCAAGTGGCAAATTCACCTTGGAGTATGATGTAAAAATTAAATAGCGCAAAGGTTAGACAAAGGACAAAGGACGTCATGCATCATGCATATCCAACTAGCCCACCTCAATATCTTAGTATCACCTTGGAGCTATGGGTCGAAGACAACCGTCCTGTGGCAAGCGGACCGCGAGGTGTTCCACAACCTCGCGGTCCGTCAACGCGTTGTGCTTGTTTCTACTTTTTTTTTCTTTTAAAAACGGGCTTTTTTTTTGACGCAAAGTTTTATTTTGTCGTTATCCTTCACACAAACGTCCTTCGACCTTGGGGTCGTGGAAATCGGGGATGAAGCGTGCACAGAGTAGATCGTTGTTTTCCTCCTTTTTATTTTTCACGGACGTCCTGTGACCTCCGTACGGTTCGTGGTCACCGCAATCTAACGCGGGGAAAAACGGGTCGCCTGCTCTGTAGTCAGGGTATTCCTAGGGGAGGGTGATAACTCGCTGTTCTTCTGGAAATTCACATATCACCCAAAAAGGTGACATGGGTAATGATTACGGTATGTTTTTTCCGGTGTTTATTTTTGAGCGAAAATCGGTGCATGTTTTTCGGTGCTTATTTTTTAATCACCAGTGTATTATGGGTTGAACGTCTTGTGATGACGCTAAAAAGCGTTGATAACCAAAGAAAATTGCGATTGGACAAGAACATTTCAAATTTCCAATTCTATTCACATATCCATTACGCTCTTCTCGTGGGAGCATCTATCCTGACGAAAAATGCCTTGAGCTGTGAACGCATACTCAGTGTACAATCTTTCGGCCTAGAGAGGTATTGCGCACGCACGAACGCGCTTCACAGCCCAGTAGACGAAGTTGGTGGCACCCAGAAGGCGAGTTTTTGAATGGTCTGTAGCAGGCA